GGGAACATGAGAAACTTGCAGAGGAAGAGGGTGGGTGAGGGGAATGAGAGCACCCCACCTGACACCTCAATTTTCTCAGGGAGCCCCGGAAGGCAAGGCCGCCTCCCAGTTTGGAGAAGCAGGTTTGGGAAGAGATAAGGAGGAAACAGGAGGTTTGTAAAGGCTGCCGAGAGGACGAGAGGGCGGTGGTTAAAGATGGACTGAGCATCTGCCTTGAGAGCCCCAGTAAAATCGTGAGGATTCTGTGCAGGGACCCCAGGCCTCGGGGTTTCGTGAGGAAGGGCGTCCAGCCGGGGCGCTGGGTGGAGAAGGCAGAATGGGCGGTGGCAGGACCGGGAGGCCAGGGCAGGGCTCAGAGTGGGTGCCCTCCAGCTCCAGAGAGGGAGCCAGGTGGGCGCTGGAGCTGGGAAAGGAGGCATGGGAGGCAGGGCTTGCTGCGGGGCAGGGGAGCCTGAGAACATGGCAGGAAGGCTCTGCCTCAGCATCCCGAATCTCCCCAGTGCTGGGGAAGCCGGGAAGCTACTCTTCCTCTGACTCATTTTGGCAGCCTTCGGTGCGCCCTTGACTTAGGTCACGTACAGTAAAAACACAAATTCCTATAACACCATTGATCCAAGACTCAAGAGAGTGCAATTTTTTTTTGATTTTGGGACAATTCACAGAACATCAAATCAACCATTTTAAAGGGTAGAGTTCAGTGGCATTTTAATACCTTCATAATGTCTTGCAATATTTTCCTCACCCCAAAAGCAAACCCTGTAGCCAGCAGGCAGTCACTCTGCATCCCTCCCTCTCAGTCCCCTGCAAACACCACCTGCTTTCTGTCTTTATGGGTCTGTCTATTCTGGAATCTTCTATGAATAGAATCCTACGACAGGTGAAGGTCTAGGTGGTTTTCACTGTTACTGTGAATAACGCAGCTATGAACATTTGTGTACAGGTGTTTTTGAGTCCCTGTTTCAAATTTTTTGAGCATATAGCTAGGTAGAAGTGCTGAGTCATCTGGTAATTCTATGTTTGTTTTTTGAGGCACTGGGTTTTCCACAGTGACAGCATCACTTCACATGCCACCCCTAACACACAGGCGTTCTGATTTCTATACATCCCTCCCCGCCTCCTACTCTTGTCATTTTATGTTTCTTTTTTATTTATGACCATTCCAGTGGGTACAAAGATTTGTATTTCCTTAGCAATTATTGTGCTTGTCAACTATCTGTTTATTTTCTCTGGATAAAAGACTATGTCCTTTGCCTGTTTTGTAGTTTCTACCATTCTTTGATTTTTTTAAAGATTTATTTATTTATGCATACAAGAGCTGGGGTGTAGGCTAGAGGTGTAGGGAGGGTGAGAGGATTCACCAGAGACTGAGTAGGGAGAAGAACAGGCAGATCTAATGAAAGACACTGCTGAGGGGAGCAGTGGGTGAGACAGGAGAGGTCTGCTGCGCCATGTGGGTAGCTCCCTGGCCGGGGATCGAACTCATGCAGCAGTGGCTGCAGATAGCTTCATAGTGCTGATGCTTAACCCCTTGTGCCACCAGGGAGGCCCCCCATTCTGTGATTTTTAAAAAAAATTTTCTTGATAGTGTCTTTTGATGCCCAGAAGTTTTAAATATTGATGAAGTCAAATTTATCTCTTTTGCTCTCTTATTGTTTGGCTTTGATGACAAATCTAAGAAACCTTTGCCAAATTTAAGATCATAAAGATATACCCCTATCATTTCTTCTAAGAGTCTGATCATTTTAGGTCTCACATTTAGGTCTTAGATCTATAGTGAGTTAATTTTTTATGTGTTATGAAGCAGGGGTAAAAGTACAAACTCTGAATCCATGCATCTTCATAATATATTTTTTAAAGATTTATTTATGCATACAAGAGCTGGGGTACAGGTCAGAGATGCAGGGGGTGAGAGGATTCACCAGAGACAGAGTGGGGAAGAGAACAGGCAGATGCACTGAAATACACTGCTGAGGGGAGCAGCAGGCGAGACAGGAAAGGTCTGCTGTGCCATGTGGGTTGCTCTCTGGCCAGCTGGGGATCGAACTCATGCAGCAGAGGCTGCAGATTGCTTCATACTGTGGTGCTTAACCCTTTGCACCACCAGGGAGGACCCACATCTTCATAATATTTTACTATTTGTCTACATTAGGCTTATAGCTTACATTGTTTATGTAGAAGACCTTGGCATTCTCAGATTTGATATTTTCAGTTTACCACTAATGTAGAACCTCAAAAGGTCATGACCTATGGTCACTGCACTGTCCCTGAGACACAGTTGGACCCACCAGCAAAGGGGCAGAAGCAAACTGCCCTCCCCACCCCAACACTCCAAGCTTAACTGGCCCTGGTTCTACATTTTCTCCTGATATTCCTAGTCTCTCGTCATCATCCAAAGCTCAGCTATTCTCATTAAGATTTGAAGGCATCACTTGAATTTTTAAAATTATACTTTATAATGCATAATGTAGAGGGATTGGATTTATGACAAGTCTCAGCACAACCTCATTCATCTTTGGGATGATCAAATACAAGGTCCATTAGAGTCAGGCAAGGAAGAAGGGAAGGCAGGAGGGAGGCAGGAACCCTGCATAGGTTTAAGACTATGGGATCCCTGGTCCCCAAACCTGCTGCTAGTGTCACCTGGGAGCCCAAAAGCAGACACTTGGGTGGGTTCTTCACAGATGCTGCTCAGTGGCCAGGCTTAGACCAGGGGATCTGTAGGTTTCCAAACTCTCAGGGAGACTCTGTCACTGGCCAGGTTTGGAAACTTCGAGTAAGTAGGGTTTTGAAAAAGATGCCCTGCAGAAGAAGGAGATTCTGAAGGACATGCAGGCAGGTCTGCGGTCTTGCTACAGAGCGGCAGGGCTGGCTTGGAGAGAAGGGCTTTTTCGGAGCGGGCCTGGCTGCAGGAGGCTGGAACCACAGTCACAGTGGTGACCTCTGACCTTGCCACCTCTCAGATTCTAGGGGAGATGTTAAGGCACGGGGCTGAATAAGCCCTTGTGGAAAGCCAGGGCTGTGGCTTTCCAGTTGTGCGAACACAGACAATTTGACTGGGGCTTCAATTTCCAGGCAGAGAAATCCAGCAAAGTGAGGGTGTTAGGATGAGCTCACTGCCTCTTTTCCTTTTCTCTTTCTTTTTTTGCTCCTTTCTTTTCTTTCTTTCAATATCCTGGCAGCAAAAGCTTCTATCCAAATAAAATGTTGTCAGCTTCCACACAAATTGTCGAAACAGGGCTGGCTGCGGGGTGACGCCCCTCTACCCCTTGCCCCAACCCCAAGCAGGCTCACATCCCCACGGAAACCAGTTGAGACTCCAGGATTGACACCCCGCACTCACACCAGGCACTGGCCTGCTGGCAGGTCTGAAATGAGGAGGAGCAAAAGAACATTCCTCTTGGGAAGACTGGAGAAGCCCCAAGGTCTCAAGAGCTGCAAACAGCCTCTGGGTGAGGGACAGCACTAGGACAGGCTGCCTCAAGATGGACTCTGAACCCACTGCGGTTACTTGACTACATTTCCTTGTAATCGCCTGACCTTTGACCATCTGGCGGTGGTGCAGCCGCCATTAGGCGACTTGCTCTCTCCACTGAGACAATTCACAGTGATGTGGAATCAGGAATTTGCAGGATCTGGATTAAGGGTGCACGTAGCTAACAAAAGCCAGCCGTGGGCCAGAATTTGCTACTAAAGGGGAAAGTTAGAGCCGGCGGCCACCTGCTTCTTGGGGAGACACCCTCTGGATGCAGCTGACTAGTTTATTTTCCACTGGGATGTTCTTTTCTAGACTATAGTTATCTTAAAGGGGACAAGTGAAACGGTGTCTGAAGCTGTTGCCAGGGCAACATGACAAAAGACTTCACCCTCTGTTACTGTACATGTAATTTATCAAAGGCAGTTGGCTCGCAGAGTGGAAAGAGAAGGGAATAAGTTGTTAGTTTGGGTCCCTGAAATTAAAGTTGAAAGACTATCTTCTGGTTAAATCAAATCATGTAGGACAGAACAGCAGCTGTGACCTGAGCAATAAAAACTCAGGAAAGTCAGGTCGGGAATGGCAAGGGCACTGTTACGATATAGGGGGATGAGAAGGGGACATTTTGTGACAGTTTGTCAAGGCTTTTAACACCAGGCTGCGTGAAGACACGGAGTCGAAAGCGTGGACCGCTGGGGCGGGATAGGAGAGAGGGCAAAACATTAAAGAAAGCCGCCGGGATACTCAAGTATCCTCTGTAGACACACATGAAGCTGGGAGCTCTGGACGCAGCGGATAGTTCTCTCATAGAACCATAACCTCTCACGAGAGCTGCATTCAAATTGAGGCCAGTGTCTCGATCTTGGACCCCGTTCAATCTGCTCATGGCATCGTGGGAAGGTGGCAGCCAATAAGCGATGCCCCATCGAGGCAGCCAGACAGGGAGGGCAGAGCGAAGCAAGAAACCCCGTTTCCTGCGTCCCTGGCATCTTTCCACTTATGGGTGCCCCTGCCCTGTGCACCTCAGTTTGTTTTATCTTTGAAAGAGGCATAATCTGGACCAACTTTCAAAGCAAGTCCCCAGAGCTGGGCTCAAGCTGTGTGGGTTCTGGGCACCCCCAACTCTCAGAGGAATGCCTCCCTTTCCATCTATTTCTATATCTATTGGGGCCTCCCTTAAAATTAGTTAAGGGAAAAATCTATTACTAAAGCGTTGTTGATGACCATCAATCTACAGATGACTAGGTTAGGTAATGGTGATGACTCTACCACCTTGTGAATATTCTAAAACCACTGAATCATACATTTTGTGTTAATTTTATTTATCAACTATTTTATTCATTATAAATTTATATAATCATGATAGCTAAATTATACATCCACATAAAAATACTCCTTTATTCACACAGAGGACCCTAAGCAAGAGGGAAACTGTCAGACCCCCAATAGGAATGGACCGTCACAACATTGTCCCCAAGGCCCCACCCTCCTCCCCCCCACCTCTGGAGCCCCTTGGGCAGCGCCTTACTGAGTTGGTGCCGAGGATCTGCAGATTGGGCTTCTCGGACTCCAGCAGCTTGGCCACCATCTTGAGGAAGCTCTCCACGAAGAGGTTGATGCTCTGGCAATGGCAAGCCATGAGCAGCTGGTCCAGCGCCTCCATGGCAATGCACACGTACCTGGGAGGGGGGCAGCACTGTCATCACTCAGCCTCATAGCCACTCACCCCCCACTGCAAACTGGAGAGCTCTAGAGGGCAGTACACGGCCAACTGGACAGCAGACAGAAAAGGAGGATTTCCCATCAATCGCCTGTGTCTTGTCAGCCCTGCCAATGAGTGTCCACTCTAGTCCACATGAGAGTCAGAATGAATAATTGCTAGAACTCATCAATGCCTCATTTTATTTTTTAATTTTTAAAAAAGATTTATTTATGTATACAATAACTGGGGTACAGGCCAGAGGTGTGGGGGTTGAGAAGACTCACCAGAGACAGAGTGGGGAACAGAACAGGCAGACTGACTGAAATACACTGCTGAGGGGAGCAGCGGGTGAGCCAGGAGAGGTCTGCTGCACCATGTGGGGTGCTCCCTGGCTGGCCGGGGATAGTACTCATGCTGCAGAGGCTGCAAACAACTTCATAGGTTGAGTCCCAACCCCTTGCGCCACCAGGGTGGCCCATCAATGCCTCATTTTAGAGATGAAAAGCACAAGGAGAGATGTGGGACACCATCTCACAAGTAGACCCAAGCAGAGAGGATTCTGAACCCAAACCCAGTGAGATCAGAGAGTTATTCAGCTCGAGTGGAGAAGACCCTCAAATGAAGGAGCCTAAAATCCAATAGACAAAATAAATCCATGGTTATCTCCTCTAAAAGGGAAATATGAAATATGCAATGCTGCAAGAAAATCGTGCACAAGGTTTCCCAAGAACAAGAGAGATGGCTCTAGTGAGGAGGCAGTGAAGGACTTTAGGAAGAAAGCTTAGGCAGAGCCTGGAATGGCCTGAGGGCCAGCCAGCTGAAGGTTAAGGAATATAAACTCTGAAGACCTCAGAAGTTCTCTGATGAAGTACTTTGCAAACAAGACGGTTGACAGTATTGCCAAGTTTGGATCAGTTCCTACCTAGCAAGCAGATGTACCTCATGAGGAAAAAATGGACACAGAATAATTGTTTTCTTCTTCTGACGAAGGTGGTCCATGTCAACTCTAAGCTCCTAAATGACTTAATTCTTCCAAAGTCTAAAAACTGAGTGAATAATTTTGGAAATGGAATACACGACATCCAGTGAATTGCTTACTAGTTAAATCAGTCCATCCCATTTTTGGCAACTAAATAAAAACTCCTTTATATTTCAAGCTAAACTCCAGCAATTTCTGTCCTTTATTCACAAGTCAAATTTCAGAGGCAGCAAAAAGAGGGCTGAATATTCCCTACCTGCCAGCCCTTTAGCTTCTTAAAACAACAATCTCATTTTTCTTTTTTCTATGCTAAAGAAATATCCATTTCTTCCCCAAGCTAGCCTGCACAGGACAACTCCAATTATCCTGGCAGTTGTCTTCCTCAGTGCCTCTCTCAAATCCCAAGAAGAAGGCCCAGAGTCAAATTCCTACAGAGAATCAGGACTGCAAGGCTGAGATCAAACCACGCTTGCTCCATGAAGACATTATGGTCAGTCAGGTAAGGTGCATCATGAAGACACATCCTTTCATCTGCAAATTTGTCAAAAATTATTCTGATTAAAATATTCATAATTTTCCTTTAGGAGTTTAAGGTTCCTGGGGCACAATGCTACTTGTGCCCCTAGAATCTACTTCCCCCTTTCCGCTAGTACTTAGGATTTGAGCTGGACTAGGAGGTGAGGTCCCAGGACTTCATTGTATTAAAATGGGGCAGAGGTCAGCGCTACCGGCTTAAAAGACAGGGTTGCCTTCCATGTCTTCTCTTGCCCTCTGCCCAGTGGCTGGGAAGTGGCAACAACTGGACACACAGAGACAAAAGCCCCTGGATGGACTGGTGGGGTAGAGCCCACTCACCAAGCCTCGACTGTCAGAGGAGAGAGAAAAACAGCTTCTGATTATGCAGCTACAATGCACTATGGGAGCTACTGAGAATTTGAGTTTCTTTGTATCCTAAATAACATGGGTACCTACTAATCAGGGTTAGGAGCGCTTTAGAAATGTGCTGGTATAAATAAAAGTGAGTCCTAAACAATCCAAAGCAAATCAAGTGACCGACCTCATAGGAAAGAGCAGAAATAAGAGTTCAAAACGAGTCTACCCTGCTAGAGGGGAGACCAGCAGCAGACTTTGGATGATGGCAAGGACCCAGAGTGTGGGCTTAAGTGCCCATTACTGGCTGGTGATGTTTCCATCCACGTGGATGGAAAAGTACTCAAGATACACACGAAATGCAGGGGAGGCGAAGTGGGCAGAGAACTCCCAGCCCTAGCTGGGGAGCTAAGGAATCAGGTTAATGCTTTTCCAAGCCAACAGCCAGTAGCAAAAGATCTGAGATTGTGGTGAAGCTGTCACCTTGGGCTTTGGAGATGGTAAAGTTGCCCGGTGCTCTGAAGTCAGGCTCCTGTGCCACATGCACATACATAGAAGATGAACTAAAAAGGTTTCTTCTTTTTTATGTTTTGATCCAAATCATACACATCTATGAATGTTAGGCAGCTATTTAAAAATGCACAATTAGCTAGTTTTGTCTTTGTTAAAACAGAATTTGGTTAAAAGAAAAAGCACAGGAAGCATGACTGCAGGACACTTTCTGGGGGTACCACAAGGCCACCACACGAGGCTCCGCACTGCTTGTGGGAGCAGCTCAGCTTCAGTCTGTGTCCAATGTGCCTTGCACACCAGCCAGCTTTGCAAACCCCAAAGAAAAGCACCTTTGAAATGTTCTTTTTTTTCAGGCATCAGATACTATTTCTCTGATATCCTTGAGTTAACTTCTGTACAAGCAAAAACAGCTTCTCTCCTCTGAATCTTTTATAAACTGTGTATTTCTTTTATCCATAGGAGCCAAGTCAACCATCATTAAGTTAAATTCAAATATTATTAAATTGTCATCTCTGGGGGCATTCAGAAATGCATCAGGTCACCTCTTATCTAGAGAGTCTTTCAAATATAAAGGCAGCATTGGGACTTTGAGTTCTTTGCTGAATGGGGCTAGGAGGTAAAGGGGGGCATTCCTGGCTCGTTATAGCTTTGTCCTCAAGACTTTCAAACCTTCACAGGCCAGGAAAACTGCTGTGCCCTGCAGTTTGGGGTCCCCAAACTGAAGCAGGCTGAATCCTGCAGGTCTGGGGAAGCAACCTGGGACAGGGCCCTTCTAAAGGGGACAGGTCTCCTTGCAGAGAAACCCAGACACGTCCCGGCCACCAGACACAGGGGGTGGGAAGCGAGAAAAGGCAGTGGGAATTCTCTTCTGTTACAAATTATTCCAGCCTCCGTCTGTATGAAGGGGACTAGAGGCATTTCACCATTAGTTGACAGAGTTTAATTGAGGGAAAGGAAGGGTGGGGTTTGGCAAGAGAAGAAACTAGAAGGCCTCCCAAACCCTTGTGCTTAGATGACTGCTTTTCCTTTTCCTGTAAAAAAAAATTCCCAGAAAATACTGATAAGGAAAGACCATCTTCTGTTAAAAAAACAAAAATTGGCTACCTACCAATGGAAATTTTGATGGTAAGTGAAAATTACAGTAGAAATGAAATTGAAAAGTAAAGGCTAAGGCCTTGTTCTTTGCAGACACTGTTCTTCATTCCCCAAATTTGATCCCAATACTGAGGATGGAAGGACTGTACTGATGTGTCTTTCGAAGTATCTTAGAAAATCAGGAGTCAATGGGACCTTGCAACCAGGCCCCTGGAGCAATGCTCACTGTGTCTGTCCCATCACGCCCTGTTTGTTAGGCTCACACGCTCAGAGGAGAGAGCATGGGCCTCTTGGAGTGCTGTGCACTCAGCAGGACCAGGGCCAGACAGGCTAGCTTCGGGGCTTGGGGTCCTGGGAGGGTCCTGGAGAAGGGTGATGCAGGGTCATCCGTCGGGGACAGGAGGCAGGAGAGGGGGCAGCTGCACAGGACCAGCCATGCCCAAGAACGTGTCGATGGGAAATAGCCATGGCCTTTGCAAAGCATCTTTTATTCTGGGCAGTTTGAATGTATTTGGTCAGCTTCACTCCTGGACAGAAGCTTTGGATTTAGGAACCTCAAACAAGGGAGTGGATTGACCTCAACCAAGGGAGGGAAAGATCAACCTCCTCAGCTAAGAGGGAGCTGCAGTGTCTCTGTCTGAAGGACCAGCCCCCTCCTCCGACCAGGTTTAGGGCTCTCCAGGATTATATGTATCTCTCAGGATCCTCAGCAGGCCAGTGATGGGGCCTGGATCTTCGTGGAGCACCCCATCTGTCTTTGTCAGGGTGTCTCCTCCTCCAGGGTTCCATGCACTGTGCATGACCAGCAAGCCAAGGTCACTCAACTGACCCCTGTCTCATCCAGCACTGCCACCACCGTCTCTCCTCCCCAGCTTATAGGACATTGTAGTAATTGTGCTGAACCGGAAAGGAAATGTACAAAGAGGAAAGAGAAATTAGGAGGAACTGCTTCTTTCTGCTGTCTGCATGTCAATGTCACTGCCCATCACAGTCCACACTGACCAACACCTTAGAAATCACATCATGTCCTCTGCCTTGTCACCCCGCTGCACCTCCAAGCACTGAGCGTACACGCTACCGGAATGGGGCGATGATGCAGGGGGGCAGTGGGGTAAAGAGGGTGATTCTGCCTCGGGGTCCCACACCCCAGGGTCACGTCCACGTGATAGAGCCATAAGCACCTGCATGGTGATGGGGAGACACAGCCACTCAGCCATCTGTGTGAAATATTTTGTTTGTTCTTCCAAATGCTCACTGGTGACAAGGAGATGATGATGAGCGTGGTGTTAGGTGGGGTAAGGCCAGGAGGGCGAGAGAGAGAAGATATCAGATCTAACAGATGTTTCTTCTCTAAGAATTTATGATTGGAGCCTTGGCTGAGGGCTACGAGGCTTTAAATACACAGATACTGCAATGGCTATTTTTATTAGGATGATACCAATTTTGAGTTGCAGCTCTAAGGACAGTGGAATGATTCTAAGTAGCTCTGCTGGCTACAGGGCATTTTGACTAAGAGAACCATCACCACAGAGAGGGGAAGCAAAATAGTATTAAATGTTTAATGCAATTGTTTGTATATTAGTTTTAGGCTCAATCTAGGATAAAGTTGTGTTTATGCGCTCAAGCATGATTGAGAATAGATCAAGGTCCTTTATATAATTGACATGTATGGTACACTCATGCCCTTTTTGTTAAGCATGTAATCTAATTTTATTATATAAAATGATCATTGTGATGAACTGTTTTCAGTCTTGCCTTCTACCAGGCAGACCTGGCTTTCAGTTTTGGGGGTGGGCCCTGGAGAGGTGTGCCTTTGACAGCCCGTCTGTACAATGCAAACCTTTTCATGTTAGTTCAAACCAGGAGGAAGGGGCCTTGAAAGGTTGTGGGCAGGGAAGGGGCAGTGATGGGGCTCCTTTGAGGGGGCCTTGAAGGAAAACAAGTGCAAAGGTTCAGAAGCAGAAGGCCCAGAGAGCCAGGGGGTGGGGGATTGTGAGCCAGGCCATCTGGGGCTGGCCTAGCGCAGGCATGGCAGGTATAGGGGGCACAGCTGGGTGGAATGGTCAGTGAGGGGCAGATTCTGGGAGACCCAGAAGTCAAAATGATTTTATTCCAAAGGAGCAGGGAAGTATAGCTTTAGTTCTGTGTCTCAAAGATCATAGCCAGCAGCATTGATCTGGAAGGACCAGAACAGGGAAGATGGGAAGCAGGAGACCATTTCCAAGGCTACTGTCATTATATGCACGAAAAGAGACTAAGAGTTTGCACCAGGAGAAAGGTAGGAGCAGAAGAAAGTGGGAAAAGGACATAACAGGCTTATACACAACGGCATAATAGAACCAATGGGATTTAGAAACACGTGCTACAAGCCCACTCCACCCTTCCAGGACATCTTTCCATTCTCTGCTCGCCACCTTACTCTGAATGTGGTGTGATGCTAAGGCAGCAACACAGTAAGACGTGCAACTCATGTTTTTTTCATTCTGCAAGTAACATATGGCCAGTAGAGAACACTAGGAAATACACGAAAAAGTAGCTGGAAACCCAAAGCAAATCATACCAAAATCCCAGCCACGTAGTTCAGCAAGTGAGAACGCTCACATTTTGGCCAATTTTTTTTTTTTTTTGCTCTATTTTCTAGACATTGAGATTTATATTTCTTTTTTAATTTTTTTAAAGATTTATTTATTTATGCATACAAGAGCTGGGGTACAGGCCAGAGATGTGGGGAAGAGGGGTTAAAGGATTCACCAGAGACAGAGTGGGGAACAGAACAGGCAGACTGACTGAAATACACTGATGAGGGGAGCAGCAGGTGAGTCCGAAGAGGTCTGCCACACCAAGTGGGTAGCTCCCTGGCTGGGGATCGATCTCATGTTGCAGTGGCTGCGGATTGCTTCATAGGTTGCATCTTAACCCCTTGCACCACCAGGGAGGCCCTTAAGTGCTTTTTTAAAGGACAAGTTACCCCTAGAATCCTGCCTTATCACTAGTCTATAGACGGTCCCTCCTTGCTTTTTCAGGCAGTAAGTTGAACGAGGCAGGATTGGTTTGACAAGAATAATGTTACATTCTGGGCCTCTCTGGTGGTGCAGCGGTTGAGCGTTGGGTTGCGAAGCTGCCCGCAGCCTCTGCAGCGCTGGTTCGATCCCCGGCTGCTCCCCGGCCACCGGAGGAGGGTCCCGCATGGCGCGCAGACCTCTCCTGCCACCCGCTGCTCCCCTCAGCAGTGTACTTCGGTCCTTCTGCCTGCTCTGCTCCCCGCTCTGGCTCTGGTGAATTCTCTCACCCTCCCGCGCTTCTGACTGTACCCAGTGCTTGTATAAAAAAAAAAAATTTAAAAAAAATTAAATAAAAAAATAAATTAAAAAAAACCCCCTGCTTTAAAAAAAAAAAGAATAATGCTACATTCTGAGCTAAACCTACTTTTCAAGGACTAGACTGTGTCTGGAGGCTTTTGCACAGGGATACTGGGGTACACGGATGCTAAAAGAGGTGCTCCTAAGAAGCCAGAATCTCCTTCTTCCCAAATATTGGCAGCAGCATCAACTTTTCCCATTACTAGAGGAGCACAGGCGAGCCCACTCCCCTTTCCCCAGCCCTATTTTCTTGGTCTGATCAATAGTCCAGTCTAGCATCATTTTCTTTCTTTCTTTTAATTATTATTTTATTTTATAATTTTTTTACATCATTTTTCATTTTTGTACAATGTGTGTATTTTCATCTCGGTTATAGTCCCTGTGAAATTCCTACCACCCATTCACCCATGAGCCATCCATCCCCATAGTCCCTTGTGCTTTTCCCTCCCTTCTCCGCCTCTGCAGAATAGCATCATTTTCTTAAAAGATCCTGAGGTTTTGCCCTAATCACAGCCTCTGCGGTTCTGCCCCTTTCCCGCACGACTCACCCATAGCGATGACGACCCACGTCACGGATGAGCCTCTCGGAGAGATAGGCTCCAATCCGATCTAGCTTTTCTGGAGCTGACAGGGCGTAGAAGGTCAGCTTCTCCATGTTGGTCTTCACCAGGCCATCCTGTGAAAGACAGACTGCTCATCTCTCTGCCACAGGTGGCCAGGAGAGCTAAATCTGAAGGTAAATAATAATTCAATTTAATCAACATTTAGCAGGGTGCCTATTAAGTATGTGTCAGACAACTTGTGGGTTTCAGGGATACAGAGATGATTAAAGCATAGCTCTTGCCTTGCAGGCATATGTGTGCACACATAGCAGTGGAGTATGTGGGGGCAGCTCCCAACCCAAAAGTTTTACCCATCAAAAGCCTCCTCTGGACACTTACCCAATGTTTACTAGCTATCAATATGAATAGTGTGTGTACGTGTGTGCACGCATGGTATGATATGGGTATACACATCTGCGTGTACACATGACTATATGGGTGTACATATATGGATGGATGGATATACATGAATATGTGTGTGTGCATGTGTGTGTATAGATGAACGACAAGGCTTCATGGGAAGTGACTCAACTAAAAAGGGTTGGGTAGCCAACATTAAGATGTAAACAGGAAGAAGGCAGCTGTGCAGCTCTTAGGGAATTCTCCAGAGATAGCTGGAAATATGAGCCTTCCAACTGCCCCTCAAGAAGTCATTGATTCCCAGAGAGCAAGCCAAGCACATCAACTCCTGACATTTCTGTCCCACCACCTGAAATCACACAACCACAGTGTGGCCCGAGAGTGGAGTGCCAGCTTGGAAAGAAGAAGCCGGGTCTCCTGTGTGGGTACCACATGCCTGGCAGGAACCGGAGAGAGCCAGGGAGAAGACACCGGTTCCTGAGCCAGCTCCAAAGAAGTGTCCACACTAAAGGCAGGAAATATTATCATCAAGGAGTTAGCAGCTCAAAGAATCATCATCCAGAGATGTAAGTGAGGATGTCTTAGCCTACAGCAATGGCCAAAAGCATGCCAAAACAAACTTCCAGAGCCTTCTGCAGATCCTGACTTCAGAGAGATCCAAGTCTCAGCCTTCAGACCCCAACAGCCTCATGTCACTGACTGGAGTTTGATTTGTCTGAGTGGGCCCAACAGCAAAGACCCTGGGGGAGTCCTGCTTCCACACACGGCCCTCAGAGCCTGGGCGCTGAGAGGCACATGCAGCTGGGATGTGACCCACCTCGGGATCCTCGGGGAAGATGTTGTCAACCAGCCTTTTGTACCTGGGGCGTAGGGCGCCACAGCAGCCACACACACCTGCAACGAGAATGGGAAAAACTCATGAGCAAAGCCTCCAGGTTAGGCTGAGGAGTCCTGGCAACCCAGCCCAGGAGGCTTGAAAGACACCAAACCCAGGCTGGAAACAAAAAGGTCCCTCTCTTACGGTGCCAGGGCCTACCCTTCCTGGGGCTGGCATCTCCCACAGCTCCCCAACCTCCACGTTCCAGGCCTTCGCCAGCTCCACTTTGAGTCTTTGGGTGGGGGTCAGGCAGAGTTGGCCTGTGCATGGAAGACGCCAGCACTGGCTCATGAAGCCAGGCCACAGACGAGCCCTTTAAGGAGTGAACCTTTGGGGGTGGAACTTACATAAAGGCCAGTTACTGCCCCCACAAATTCCACTGTTGTGTGTGCACAAGCATGCATGGACACACACCTGCACACACTCACGCTCTGCACTGTGAAACTGCCTGTGCAGCCCATGAATCTTCCTCAGCTTGAAGGGGTGTTCTTTCCACCCCACCCCTCACTTGCTCCCCACTTCTTCAGTCTCTGCTCCTCAACCTCCTCTTCCATCCTCTCCCCTGGGGCCGATTCCATTATAGATGTTATGTGAAACTATGATAAATTAACATTGTCATTAATTATTAATATCTGAAGATGCATCTTTAACGCAGCATGACCGTGGTGTTGGGGCGGGGCCTGAGGGGCCGGCCAGCCGCCACCCCTGCTCCCACTGAGGCGTTCACCAGTCTGGGGCAAAAAGGAAGAAACGAGCAATGCAGTATGATTTTAGAAAGCCAATCTACTCCATTTCGAAGACTGAGATGAACTCCTTTTTTGTTTCTTGGTGCTATGAAGTGATGGTGTTAGGAAATCACTGATAATAAAACAAACCCTGGGAAAATAAAAACTTGATTCTAGGTCTCACCATAAAAAGTTTTCAATTGATGAAGGAAATAAAAAAAGTCAGTAACTGGGCTTCCCTGGTGGCACAAGCGGTTAAGTACAGCACTGTGAAGCTATCTGCAGCCTCTGCAGCACCAGTTGGATCTCCGGCTGGCCAGGGAGCAGCCCACATGGCCCAGCAGACCTCTCCTGTCTCACCCGCTGCTCCCCTCAGCAGCGTACTTCAGTAGATCTGCCTGTTCTGTTCCCCACTCTTTCTCCGTTGAATCCTCTCACACACACCCCCCCACCCCCCACCGCCACCGCACCTCTGGCCTATACCCCAGTTCTTGCATGAATGAATAAATAAATCTTTTTTTTTAAAAAAGTCAGTAACTTGTTCTTCTCCCACCTTCCTCCCCTCGCAGGGACCTCCCATTCCACATCCCCTGCCCATCTTACCTTATCTGCAGGGTTGGGGGGTAGGATGGGCCTGGGAAAGTCCACCCTTCCCTCCAATAACTGGCCCTTCACTCTACCAATTAACCCTCAATTCTGCTTGTTCAAAATGCTCTGGTTGAAATGCAAATGTGCTCAGAAGTCTCAAGCCTGTGGGTCCTTCAGCAAAGAATGAATTACTTCAGTGGGTGCTGCTTGAATCACTTCCTGTATAAATGGAAAAAAGCAGCTCCCTGGGAGCTGTGATGGGCGTGGGGCGCGCGCGCGCGTGTGTGTGTGTGTGTGTGTGTTCATACACAAAGGCGCACTGATTTGGGCTCTAGAGGTGACTCAGGCAGATTGGATGTCCAAGGGAGACCCCAAAGGAGTGCAGCATATGGGACAACAGTTGGTGACACCCATCCCCCCACAGAGGGGTGGCTGTGTACCCCCTGGCCTCCCACAACTCGGCAGAACCTGCTCCTGGGCTGCACACCAGGTCCTTCAAGTTCAGTGTCATTGGGCTGTGCTGCCACCTCCTCATCTCCCTGCCCCTGCCTGGAGAAGTTATAAGGCCCAGCTGGGGGACCCGGGTTATTTCTCACACTGGGGCAGCATTTGGGGCTGTGTTCCTGGCTACAGGGCCTCAAGCACAGGATCTACACCTGCCCTCCATCCAGCTGTCAGGACGTCTCCCAACAGCCTCCTCCCTCACTGTCCCTAAAACAGGAACACACGCTCTGCGCCTTTTAAGAGTGTGAGGAAATAGAAGCACAGAGAAACACAGAGAAGTCAGAACTAAAAAACTCCTAGTGTCAGTCCCGTCCTCAAGCCTTTCTGAAGGGCCTATCAGCTGGGGACAGCCCTGGCAGAGGCCAAGCTCAGAGATGCTAAAACCCAGACCTGTAGAGAAAGCACAGGCCTGTTTTGGTCCTGGGGTAGACACCGCGTGCAGGGCAGGAAGGGACACTAACTGCCAGGGCGCAGGCCTGGTTATGACCAGTCTGGGGTCGTTGACCTGATATCCTTTTGGGTGGAAAACAGGTCTGCTGGGCTTCTGCTCTCGTATTCTGGAAAGGGCACGCTCAAGCCCCCTTTGTTCCTGTCCCTCCTCTAGTGCATGAGCCCCTCTGGGAAGCCCCCCTCCCACCACAGAGGCCTCCAGAGCCACCAGGCAGGGTCCTATGTGGGGACCAGTCACATTCAAGGCCCCAGGGCATTTCCCCACTGGTGGGGGAGTCAGAAGGCCAAAAGTGAGGGGAGAGCAGTAGCCCCTTGTTAGCAGAGCTAACTTAGGCCCTGATTCTCCATCCAGTATATTCTTTCTTTCCAACCTCATCGGCCCCTCGGAGGTCAGGAGCCAGAAAGGCAGGGTAGTTAACAGCATGGGTTTTCTGGTCAAACCCTAGTACTGCCGCATCCCAGATGTGTGACTTGGAGCAGTAAGGACGTCTCTGCGCATGTCCCAGGCTTACGGCACAGGGCTGTGGGGAGGCCCGAGGCTGCAAACACATAAGGCGGGACCAGGCCTGGTAGACACCCAGGAACATCGGCAGGCAGCTGCCCTCCCTGCCCACCTCCCCACGCGTGAACAGAAAAGCAATCAAACTTCAAAGTCAATAAAGGGATGATAAAACAAACATTTAGGGAACGATCTCGGGGTCTTGCAAGGTAGTTCTCTTAGGAGCCCTCAGGGGAATGCTGCTGTCAGAGAAAGGTTGGCTCCTGTTCCAGAATTCTGTCCAGCCCATCACCTGTGACTGCCACGCCTATGGCTCTCGAGGCTCAGCTGGGGGCTTTGGGCGCCGGGTAACCTGGGGTCAGAGTTGCTTCTGCCCTTCTCCTGCCACTCCCTTCCCCCACTGTGCCCAATTCCACCTAGGCTCCTGGCTGGTCCTGCTTGCTGGCCCTGGCTCGGCCTGTGGGTGCAGTCCTGGGGGCTCTGAGGACAGTGGGCACTCCTCCGTGATCCAGTGCACAGCCAGGGTGGGAGGCACTGCCCAGCTCTGCCTGCCTGGCAGGTGATGGTGGACCTCACAGCCGCTGACAGCCGCTCAGCATCACACCCCTGACCCAGCCTGCTAGCAGCCCTGATTCCCCTTTGCTCTGCTTGCTCGCTCCATTTCTGCCACTGAGCTGCCTCCCCTATTGGACTACCTGTTACTTACAGCGGCGGTCTGAAAGGAGCAAAAAATCTCAAACACTAACCACGTCATGTTTTCAACACATAGGTCGCTTCCTCCAAGTCCCCGCACTAAACCAGTCCAGCCTGCCAGACTCCCTGAGGTCCAGCGGGGGCCCCTCTAGTCCCTTCCTCTCCTCCACTGCTGCCCCAGCGGATCTTTAATAACAAAAAAAAATCAAGTAAACTACCTACTCTGTGCTAGGCATCTGGGCCAAGCACTTTGCAAATATTTAATGTAACATTTGTAACAACCCACTAAGATATGCACTATTTATTTTACAGACAAATAAGCAGGACTAGAGAGGTTAGGCACCGCCCTCCCCTCCCAAGGTCACACAGCATGTGTCTTGAGGCTCCCTTTACTGTCCCATCACTTACCCCAAAACACATCCTCAACAGTTTCTCAGGTTCATCCTCTGCTCTCCTTTGCCACAGTCGCTGCTCAGACTCTCCTTGACATCTGATACCCAGTCCTGCCCATGCGCCTGGCCAGATTCCTTGCTCCAGGTCACTCTACATGTGGTTTTGAGGCACACCTTTCCTCAACTTAGCCTGTTTCACAGCCAAGCAGTTACTGGCTTGCCACTGCATCAAATGAGAAACTTTTGACTTAGTATTCAACCAGGTGGTGGGCTGCTCCATCTAGGATTCATGTCCTTAGCGGGCCCTCAGGGACTCTCCCCTGCACCTTCAGGAACAGTTTTGTCCAGCAGCCGGAGGCCACGTCTGAGTCCGGCTGTGAGAAGGGCAGGGGAGTCTGCAGCAGAGCAGACAGGGCTGGGGGAGGGCAAGGCGCCAGGCCTGGAGAGCCCCACAGCTGCAGGACAGAGGACATTCAAGTGACTAGGACCAGAGAGAAGCCAGACATGGTGAGGGGACAGGAGTCTGAGCCTTGGACCTCAAGGCCTTGAGATCATCATACTGAGTGGGGGGTGGGAAGGTGGGCAGATCCTCACACCTGTTCAATTCCCCTTGGAAGCCCTCCATTAATAATGTCCCCCAGGAGCCTTCCTGGTGGCGCAAGGAGTTAAGCACCACACTATGAAGCAATCCGCGGCCTCTGCAGCACAAGTTCGATCCCTGGCTGGCCAGAGAGAAACCCACATGGTGCAGCAGACCTCTCCTACCTGGCCTGCTGCTCCCCTCAGCAGTGTATTTCAGTCAATCTGCCTGTTCTGTTCCCCACTCAATCTCTGGTGACTCCTGTCACCCCCTGCATCTCTGGCCTGTGCCCCGGTTCTTGCATGCATAAATAAATAAATCTTTGGAAAAAAAATAATGCCCCCCCAAACTCTAGGCATTACCCTCCCCCAACTTCTGTATATCCTTTGCACCATAGGCTCTTAAACAATCTTCTATTACCACTGCTGGCTCAGACTAAGTTATCTCAATGACTCATATTTTCTTCTCCCCAGATAAACTGTAAATTCCCCAGGTCTCACTTTCGTCTGAACTTGCTATGGCATCTGAGCCCAGCAGGACTCGAAAGCAGGCAGGACGCCTTTGATCAGCGTGAGACCCAGGGAAG